AGTAGTCTATTCAATCCACTTAATCATTATTTGAACTTGGATAACCTAGCACTGACTCATCCATATAAGGGAATTGGCCTAGCAGTGACCCAACTCAGAAGGTATCACATCCTCCACTACTTTAGAATGCAACGTCCTATCAACCGTTAGGGCCTTCAACAATCAAGTCAATGACAGCAGGCTATCGCAGGTCGGATCTGATACCAACTATGACACCTAGACCGCAACTCATGTTGGCCAGGCGTATCGGTATTAAAATGGCCCCACAGGTCAACGCGGATCCTCCAATGTGCTTTGTTCTCACTCAAGTGCACCCTGTGAGACTTTTCAGTGGGTCATCCATCCTCAAATTACTTTAGGACAAGCACGCTTAACTCTAACGTTCTTTCAGTATGGCTCCCGGAAAGGAATGTGCACATTGTTGACATGAGTAGATCCACTTATCTCTATTCAAACTCGGATGGACTAGCACTAGATCATCCATACATGAGAGTTGGTCAAGCACCAGCCCAACTTCGGGGGTATCACACCAAACTTCTTATGGAGTGTTACCAAGAAGACTTAGAGTAAGACATTTATTCAATAAATACATTAGACAAGTTGCAGCCTCTCCGTAAAAATAATTTGGCATACATTTCAATTTCAACATGCACCTGATCATAGTCATAATAGTGCGATTTTTTCTCTCGGCTACTCAATTTTGTTGAGGAATATATCTGGTAGTCAACATATGTTGTATACCATTTTTCTTAAGAAAATTGTCACATAGTAAGTATTCTTGGCATTTATCCGTCCTTAAAATTTTAATTTGGCATCCATTTTCTTTCTCCACGAAGATTTTAAAGCTTTTTAATTTCTTATACACATCCCACTTTTGCTTTAAAAAATACACCCAAGTTTTTCTACTAGAGTCGTCAATAAAAGTAATAAAGTACTTACAACAACCATTAGAAGAAACCTCCACTGTGCACAAGTCTTAATAAATAAGTTTCAGAGGACCTTTCACTCTCCGAAATTTTCCAATTTGAAAGGTATCCCAGTGTTGATTTTCCAGAGCACATATGTCACAAACTCTCTATGGATTTTGAATGTTAGGCAATCCGCAGGCCATGCTTGCTTTAGCAAGAAATTGCAAGCTTCTAAAATTCAAATGCTCAAACGCATATATCACAACCAATTATCATCATTAATGAAAATAATCAAAAGAGTACAATTTCCAGCATTCAATTTCAATGGATATAGATGGTTTGAAGTCATTGAAGCCATAGCAATGAAGCCAAGTTTTTTATTGGAGATGCTACAAACAGCCTCATAAATGTGAATCACATATTTCCTCTCTGATAGTTGTCCAACACTCAGTAGGTTATGATAAAGTCCAAGAACATAATAGACATCATAAAAAAATCTTCTAGCCCATTTTTCAAGTTGATAAGGATCTTTCCTCTTTCACGGATGAATAACATAGCGTCATTTCCAAACTTGACTTAGCACACCCAGATTTGCCAAGATCAACAAATAATTCTCTTTTATCAGACATATGATTACTACAGTCTGTATCCAAGTACCACTTATGTTCTTCAGTCATATCAATAATGTTAGATGCTAGAACAATACTTTCGTTGTTTCATGCTCTTGAAAACTATCATTAGTAATTCCAACCTGAAAATTTCTTTTTGAATTCTCCATTATGCTCTTGGAAAGTATTATTAGAAACTCCAACCTAAAAATTTCTTTTTGAATTCTCTATATACCAATATTTTGACTTTTTTTGTAACCAAATTTTCACAATTGTAAAATTGAATTTTCTGCACCACTTCATTGCTTCCTCTGTTTAAATCACTTCTCCCTCTACTAATTCCACTTTTAGAAGTAAAATGTTACATCTGTCACATCCTGAATTGACTTGCACCGTTTTACCTCTATTGTTGGTAGCATGCTAGTTGTAGTAAAATTTCATTTGATTTGATTCGTGTGACTTCTTGAGAATATGGTGTTAATTGTAACTGCAGTGTTTTTTCCACTTTTTGTTCAGAGTAATCTCCCTGCTTCCTATTTATTTTTTGCTAATGTAAAATAAGAAATCCTTGCAAATTTTCAATACTTAAATTGTCTAGATCTTTTGTTTCTGAATTACAACTATCACATGATCAAATTGCATATGTAGTGTATTGAGAACCTTTTCGACAAATGACCCGACTGGAAGATCATATGCATTTAAGACCATCTCATTTTTTAGATTTGACAAACGAGAAAAATAAGATTCAATCTTGTCCATCGTCATCAACTCAAATTTCATTTTCAACGTCATCAAATTATTTTGTTAAACTCTATTGATATTTTTGTAAGTCTTACCAAAAATATCCCAAGTCTCTTTTGCCATATTGGCCATTGAAATTTTTCCGAAGATAGACATATAACTTATTGGTGAATTTGTGATAACATCTAGTATCCTTAGTCTTCTGATCCTCACTTGCATTCTCCGGGAGTGGTACTTCAATATATCGATGTAACTGACATGCCTTCAAATGAATCAATAAAAAATCAAACTCAATACAACAAGAAATTAATCACACTATAATTTAGCTCGTTAGTTAAAATAACATTATTTGACATAAATATTATTATATTTACCTTCATTTCAGTTTGGTTTACTCTCCTATACAACTTTAACAATATATATATATATATATACATTAATTAATTAAAAAATTAAAATCAAAATTAAAATAATTATTCTTGCTATTCACAAGAAATATTTTATTTTATTATTTTAGTTACTTATAAAAAATATTTTTCATATTCTATTTATAAAACATATTTAAATTTTATTTTCCATATTCTATTTATAAAATATATTCAATTATTTTTATAAATTTTTATTTAATATTCCCTCCGTCTCAACATAGTTGATACTTTTTATTAGGGATGCGGCATTTAAGAAAATAATATTTAATTAGTTAATAATAGTGAATAATGATATAATTATTTATTTATTTAATAATATTGATGGTTTTAAAATAAATTTAATATATACTATTTTTTTAAAAAATAAATTATGTATTTAAATATTTTCAAAATTATATCGCAAATAAAAATATATGTAATATGAATATTATTTTGTAAAAAATAAAATTTTATATAAAAGAAGTAAATAAAAATATACTTTTATTTACTTATAATTAATATAAATTAATTTTATAAAACATGTGGAGCTTTAAATGTAAATAAAAATATTTATTTTGTTGATGAGAGCCATATAAATAAAAAGGGTTTTTTAAGTAGGTCCTACATGTACGATGTTATATGTTATGTAGTTAATTATATTGATTTATGTATTTGTTAAGTATGTTTTAATTTTGTAAGTTTTACCGAAAATATATAAATATGTCAATTGTTATGGAACAGACGAAAATGAAAATGAAGTCAATTGCGGTGGGACGAATGAAGTATTTTTTACGTTTCAACTAACAATATCAATTTTATTATTTTCGTACGTCTAATTTAAAAGTATATGATTTCTATTATAGTAAAAATAATTAGACATTGATTTCAAAATATCTTTTAAATTTTTAACTAAATTATATATATATTATTACATCTATAAAATTAATTTATATATAAAATACAATCCGATAAAGAAATTTATGCAACAAAAATGTCTAAATCATTGTACACATTTCTATTTGCAGGGTATTAGGTTCAGCCCAAGGTTTACCCCGTGCGCACTTTCGGGCAGGGGCTTCAGATTCCCATGTTATAAAATAAAATATTATTCTCTTTGTCCCCCTTATCTTACAATATTTTTTATTTTTGTTCATCTCATATATCCTATATTTTTAAAATAGAATTATTATTTTTTTCACTTTCGGTTACCACCTGCAGATTCCCAAAAATTAGAAATTATTTTTTAATATTTTATCGGTCCATCAAATTTATTTTCACTTTTCTTTTTTATTTGTCCGTTAAATTTACTATATTACTATATTTGAAAAAGTAAAAAATAAAATAAAATCAATATTCAATTAGTATTATTCTTAATTTAACATTTATTTATATTTATAGCAAATGTCAGTGATTTTATTATATTCTCTCTTTTTATTTTCTTTAATTACTAACTAAATTTTTAAAAAAATTTGTAATTATTTTATTTTTATTTTTTATTTTTACTTTTGAATGAAATATTTATTTATTTATTTATTTTTAAATTTCGGTGTTAAATCTAAATAAGCTAAATATGACCAATGGAGTGAGTACTTTAAATTGTTGAAGAAGAAGTACTTTAATTTATCTACATGACTAACTAATATATTCAAAATCTTTTTATTTTTATTTCTCATGTCAATAAATAAATATTTTTATATATTTTCAAATATTTTTATTTTTTATAAAATTAATTTTAAAGTAATAAATAAATAAATAAATATATTTTTTATTTATATTATATAAAATTTCATTATCTATAAAATTGTATTCATATTCAATATATTTTATTAAAATATAATAAAAAAGTATTTTTAAAATACCTAAAATACTTTTCATTAAAAAATAATAAAATAATATTATAGTTTATTATAATAGTTTATTAATTTATACTAAGGGTGTGTTTGTTTGGGAGTTTGAATTTTGAGTTGAGATTTGAATAGTAAAAATTTTAAATTTCAAATAATTATATGATGTGATATAAATAGGTGTTGAGGTGATATTTTGAATGTAAAATTAATTTTTAAAATAATATAAAAAATAAAAAATAGGTATTTGATTTGATATTTTTGAAAAAAAAAAATTGGATGAATAATGTAAATCCAATCCAATCCCCCAATCAAACACATCCTAACTATACAAATACAATACCTCTAATCAAATGGATCATATGACCAAGACGAATTAGTTACTAAGTTTAAAAATTAAATTTTATTCTTATAAAAGTACAAAAACATGGACAGCAGTAAATACTAAGGCAGTCCAGGACCACAGTTGCTACTGCTGCGATTGTCGTACTCGTCCCTCTCTCGCAAAACTACCACTTCCAATTCCAAGATTCAGCGAATTCATCCAATATTTAAAACCGGGCATCAAATCCCAGTACCGTTTCCATTCTTTGAGTAAACAAATCCCATAAAAAAAACATCCATCATTTAAGCCAAATTCTCCCGCTTTGGCCTCTTCTGGAGTGATGACGAAGAAGACTCAGCTCAGCTCAGGTCCCTAGTTAGATGTCAACATATTATTTAATGCTTGTAGGCAGATTTTCCCTACCCTTTTCCAATCTCTCTGACTTTTGAGCCTTTTCCCTCTGCAATACGCAGTTAGGAAAGCCCCAAGAAGAATAGACTGACTGCTAGCTGGAATATTTCTTTCTGAAAGAAATCCTTTGTAGGAAGAGGTAAAGGGAAAGGGAAAGGGACAGAGTCCTTATTGTTGCTTTGGATTCTAGGGTTAAATTCTCCCCCAAGAGAAGGACTTTAATGCGGGATCAGATGGTGTGGTAAAATGGGTTGTTTGATGGAATTTTGTGTGTTGTGGGCACTGCCCATGCCTTTCACCCAGCTAAAGGTCCTTTCTTTAATCATTAATCTTGTTGCTACTATTGTTCTTAGTTTTATGTAAATATCTGCGACTTTAATTACAATTTTTTTTTTTTTTTTAATCCATTGTTGTTTTCACAATAATGATATGATGGGTTCCTCTCCCTCTTTCTCTCTCTCTTCTTTTCAACTCCCCACCCTTTTTATCTGTCAAAAGTTGTATTCTTTTGACTTGGTGTTTGAGTTTCTTTTGTCTGGTGCTAAATCTACCTGGATGTTTGGTGAATTTCTCCCTATGTGAATTGTTTCTTGCTGAGGATTTGATATCGTTCCGTGTACATGTGAACTGGGTTTTCCCAAGTTCTTGATGAGGTTTTGTTCTTGAAGAGGTAATGTGGAAGTCTTTTTTTACCATTGAATTGTGTTTCAAGAGTCAGCATTATTGCTTTGATTTTGATTATACATATATATATATATTCTTTGTTTAAATTGATGATGAATATGATGATGCATTGGTTGGAATTCTTTGATCAATGCGCCATGAAGGATGCCAGTCTTTTGTTTTTTTAAAAGGAAACCGTAGAGCATGAAATCTGGCTAATTTTGAAAGAAAATAAATTGGAGGATGTTTGTGACGATGCAATGTTCTTTGTCCTTGTAGACTGTAGAGTATGTAATGTTCCTCTAATTTTTCAAACTCCGAGAGTTGGAGAATGTCTTGACGGTTAGTTTTGGAATCCAATTCGAAGATTTAATGCATATTTTGATTGATTTGTTAGGGATGCAATAACTGTGATGTGTCGGGATGAGCATTAAACATTGGTTGTACAGACAAAAGATTAGCTTGAGTTTGAAGTTGAGGAATACCATGATGAAATGCATTTGTTCCGGGGAGCAAATATTAGCGGACGAAAAAATAGCTTCATCCGAGTCTCTTGCGACGCGCGACTATTCTGCGAGCGGATATTCCTCCCGAGCGGGGGAGGTTGAGACAAAGGTCGACACCAGCAACATTGAAGAGGCAGAATCATCCCTTCGTGAAAGTGGATTCTTGAATTATGAGGTTGGCGACTCTCGACTTATTGCTGTTCTTGTATGCACTAGTGTCTGTGTAGAATGCATATTCAATGATCTAGAGAAGAAAATCAGGAGTTTTTAGCTTAGTGATAAAACTTTTTAGGAAGCGAGAGCATTGTTGGGGCGGCTCGAGTACCAAAAAGGCAACGTGGAAGCTGCACTTCGCGTTTTCGAAGGGATTGACATTGCTGCAGTGATTCCAAGAATAAAGATCTCCGTGGTTAGAAGATGCGAACTTCCCAGACGTCATTCTCAAAGCGACAATGTCCCTCAAATGTCAATGCATGCAGTTAGTTTGCTCATCGAAGCCATATTTCTCAAAGTAAAATCACTGCAGGCTCTCGGAAGGTACACAGGTATTCCATTGCATTTGTGTTTTCTAGGCTGAATGCTTTTATTACTACTTGTAAGACATTTTCGATAGTAGCTGAACCTTTGTTGCTCGTGATTTTGCAGAAGCTGCTCAATCATGTAAAGTAATATTGGATACATTTGAAACTGCTATACCGGACGGCTTGCCCGAAAACTTTGCATCCGATTGTAAACTGATGGATACGCTGAGTAAGGCTGTGGAGCTACTACCCGAGTTATGGAACCTTTCCTATGCTCCCCAAGAAGCCATCCTCGCCTACAGACGGGCGCTACTTTACCAGTGGAATCTCGACACAGAAACCAGATCCAAAATCGAAAAAGATTTTGCTATTTTTCTTCTTTATAGCGGTCATGATGCAAGCCCACCGAATCTCCGGTTGCAGAGGGAGGGTTCATTTGTGCCCAAGAACAATGTCGAAGAAGCTATTCTCTTGTTGCTACTAATTCTCAAAAACATTACGCTAGAGAGAATTGAATGGGATCCTTCGATCTTGGATCATCTCGGGTTTGCTCTATCTGTAGGCAGCGAGTGCAGGTCCCTTGCTGGCCAGATCGAAGAGCTAGCTCCCGACACCCTTGAGAGCAAGGATAAGTACACATCTCTTTCCCTTTGTTACCATGCCGAAGGTGATGACATGGTTTCTCTGAATTTGTTGAGGAACATTTTGAATAATCGAGAGAATCGTGACAATGGCTTCGAACTATTACTTGCTTCAAAGATTTGTGCAGAGGATTCGGGCTCTCTTGAGGAAGGTTTGAGCTATATCCGCAAGCTGTGTGCTCGATCGGAAACATGTTACCATAGGACTAGCTATGCAAACTACTTGCTAGGGGTTTCGCTGTCTGCCCAATCTCGGAGCACCGGGTCCAATTCCCAGCGGATCTTGAGGCAATCCCAGGCGCTGGAGGCACTCGAAACTGCTGAGGAGATGAGCGATGGGAGGAATCCCAGCATATTATATTCGCTAAGTCTGGAGAACGCTGAGCAGAGGAAGCTGGACTCAGCTCTCCATCACGCCAAGAGGTTGTTGAAACTGGAAGCCGGATGTAATGTGGAGAGCTGGATTCTTCTTGCTCGAATCTTGTCTGCCCAGAGACGGTATGTGGATGCTGAGAACATGATCGATGCTGCGCTTGATGAATCCGGGAAATGGGAACAAGGCGAGTTGCTGCGCACCAAGGCAAAACTGCAGATTGCTCAGGGAAATCTGAAGGATGCGATCGACACATATACAAAACTTCTTGCAATTCATCAAGTCCGGAGAAAGAGTTTCCGACTGCAAAAGAAGCCCATAAAAGTAGGCGATGCGTGCTACCATGAGATATAATATGTGTTGATGTATCACTAACTATGCAGTTTTGGTTGCAGGGTAAGAAGAGCAACGATGTGAGTAGTACGGAGCTGGAGACATGGCACGATCTGGTGAAGGTCTATACTAGCTTGTCTCAGTATCATGATGCCGAGATATGCCTTTCGAAGTCGGAAGCAATCAATCCTCACTCAGCTTCAAGGCTACATTCTGCAGGTACCAAGCACATTTTGCGTTTCTGTGCGGGGAAAATCTTGAAACTCCGACATGATAAAGGACTAACATTCCTAGAAATAAAATACTTGTACCTCATAGGTTTGCTCTTGGAAGCTAAAGGTCTGCACAAAGAAGCTCTAAAGTCGTTTGAGAAGGCGCTGGACATGGACCCCAATCATGTCCCGAGTTTGATATCAACTGCGGCTGTCCTGAGACAAATCAGCAACCAGTCGATGCCAGTGGTTAAGAGCTTTCTGACTGATGCATTGCGGCTTGACAGGACAAACTCGGCTGCCTGGTACAACCTTGGCCTGCTGTACAAAAGCGAAGGCAGTAGTGCCCTGGCAATGGAGGCAGCCGAATGCTTTGAGGCTGCAACACTGCTTCAAGAATCCGAGCCGGTGGAGCCTTTTAGATGAAGAGGTCTGCAACATCATCACATACAGGATTGCAACATAAAATCAATGTCAATTGTATTTTCTAGTCATTAATGCCTGCCATGAAAGCTTTTTTAGTCACAAAGATCGCATTCGATCTCCTATTCCAAGCATCGTCATACATATTTTGACATGAGAATAAACAATGTCAACATGTAGAAACAAGGAATTCTCAAAGAAGAAAGCTGCAAAATGGCAATGAAGAAAACATCTGCTAGTGTAAGGAGATGCACAGTTTGAAATTTATTTCTTGTTGAGATCGATTCCGGCTTTCTTAGCAACTGCATCAAGTCCATTCTTCTCAATGGTCTTCATAGCTTTCGTCGATAGACGCAATTTGACATAGCGCTTCCCAGCTTCCCACCATATCCGCTTGTACTGCAGGTTCACAAACTGTCGTCTCGTTGTCTTGTGGTTCGAGTGAGAAACTGCATTTGCTTTGTTTGACTTCTTTCCAGTGAAGGGGCATACTCTACCTGAAAAAAACAACATAATGTGAGACAACTCAATTCAAAAGTTAAATTGGAAGGATTAATATATAAAAGAACACCAACACATGACACCTGACACCGCTAGTTCACTTGACACCCTTCTCCTCTTTTCAAACTGGTTGATCTACAGGAAAACTTATCTGTCTATTTACTGGAGGTTTAGCTTTGGTTTTTTTGTTTAAATAATTTTTTAGATATGTTTTGTTAGAAAAAATAGAGTTTTATAGAAAATCATGAATTGCATTTGTATAATAAAGAACCTGAAACCAAATTCCAAGTAAATAAAGCATTAAAACATCACTTTCAACCCCTAAACTCTGTACAAAATATCAAAATCAGCTATTATTTTCCATTCTAAAATTTTCAACTACAAAACGCCAAAAGCATTCCAAAACACAAGAAAACAAGCAAGCTACTATGATTCATAATGAACAATTACCATACTCAAGCGTAGTTCCACATTTCTACCAAGTCTTCAAGTCTAACGTCTCCTATTATATTTCAAACTTTCTTAATTCTTGATGTATTCGTCCAACTATCACGCCTCGTATATGTAAACATTCTATGCAACTAATCCTAGGCTCAGGGCTAGTATTCTTTCGTAACAGTCCTCCCCAAGCAGGTGGTGGTGTTTGGCTGCTTCCAGTTCTGCCACCAGTCGTTTCTGGTTCTCATTTATGGCTCTCTGTTCTTGTCATAGTGGTGCTAGGCTTATGACTAAGCAGGTAATGACAATCCCCAAGCAGCACCTTACCTACAGCAATTTCAGTGTCTTCAGCACCTACTCCTGGCTGCAACAGATCCTGCTTCTCCTGTTCCAGCAGTTGCTAACAGCAGCTTTGTTTCCCCGACACTTTTGGCATGCAGGACGGCATTTCCGGTAACCAGTATCCAGTGGAAATGTCAAATCTGGTGCAACGGGCAGCACCACCTTCTAATGGATATCAAGAGTCCACTGAATAATAGCTGCAGCAGCACTAGCATCAGTTGACCTAGATGTGGGCAGGAGATCATAGTGCTACCAAGATGTCGGAAACCACTTGTCGATCCACTTGAGCATCACCTCAATAATTCCCATTGTTTTCCCATGTTGATCAGCCAGGCAGGACCATTATAAAAGTTTATATCCAAAAAATTATACATAGTAATCTGTTCAAGCCCTACAAGGATAGTATTCTCCAAATTCCAACCCAACAAACCGGAATGACCAATTGCCTTTTGCCTATTCATCCTAAATCCAGGTAACTACAATTCATTATGAAAGATATTTAACCTTAAAGGAATTCTAGTAAGCATCAAAATTTAGCTCCAAAAGACTTCCATCACACAAATTATCATAAGTCATCGAGTTTGTTTGTTTACTTTTTCCTTGCAGCATATTATTAAAGAACAAACTGGATCTTTATCCTAACAGGCTTAGCTCTAACATAACTTTCCCTAGCAGCAGTCCTTTTTGCATTTTTCACATCCCTATGAAGTAGCCTTAATAGTTCACCACTTTCATCTTATAACAACTCATTATACATCACAAAAGACCGGCTCAAAATTTAGTAGATTTCAAGTAATAGATGCATAATCAATCAAGAAACATCCCAGTGAAAAGCATTTCACATTCTTTCAGGCAATCATGATCATTCAAGCAGATTTGCTAATATGTGCCAGTATTATTCACCCAGGGAAATACAACAAATGCGCATTCACACTTTATGCCTAAATCAGCATTAGCATCAAACAAAATTATGCTAACCATATCCATATCCATCACTTGCTACCATTTTTTTGTTACATTTCATCAAAACTAGTAATGAGTCAAATTTGCAAGTAGTATTTCACATTCACCTGAACTAGAATAAATGAGATTCCACTGTAGATTCGTTGAAACTCTAGTGTGATTATTCAGATCCATAAAATATTTACGAACAATATCATTTTGATTATCTTATCAAAGAGATTTAGAAAAGTAAATTTTCTAAGCAATCAAACCTACCATTTGACAGCATTGCCAATTTTTCCACATTCTAGTATGCCATTCAAGCTATGAAGATGGCTGTAGTGTGTATAAACTGTAATAAAAATAGTAGATAAGTAGCTGTACTGACTTCTTTCAATAGGGATGATGAAACCAGTCTCAAAGTGCCAAACTACTAAATAAAGCTGGCACAGAAACAAGACAATTTCTTTGATCAGGGGAGAGTATCGACTTGATCTTTATCGTGTTGCCCAGCTTATCTGTACCTTAGACTCTTTTAAGTCTTTTTTTCTACATATCGTTGCTCAAGGAAGCGCAGCAACATTTGCACAAAGTAACAACACCAACAAATATACAGTAAATCCTCTCGCAAACCTTGTACCGGGCACCCCATTCTACAATTAACCCAAAAGCTCTCGCAAGTGGGTCTAACAAGAAATTTAGCCCATTCACCTTCAAATCATTATCTCCATAGGTCATAAATATAACCGGAAACATCAAAGCTGTTAATAAAAGGGTAAGAAGATTACGAGCAACAGGTTGAAGAGAAGGCCTCAGATGCGTAGAGAGAGGAAGACCGGCTCTCTTCTGAAATTGGACCGAGGATATCTTGATTCCACTCAACTGGGACGCAACGGAACCAATTTCGGAACTCTTAATCGTCGAGAACCTGCACAAGTTTTGGGATTTTACTGCTACTCCCGCCATGGTTGGTCCGAGTGAGGCTGCAATCGTCGCCATTTCTCACAATTCAGGATTTTCTACACCTGCTTTTGCTTTCATATACTTAAATTGTAGGAAAAGGTAAGGCGGGTATTTGAGGGGAAATTGGAGAGGATAATGGAAGCGATTTTATTTTAATATACAAATATATATTTGTGTAAAGTTTAAATTCTGTTATTCCAATATTACTTTTAAATTATGATTTTCTAAAAATAATATATAAAATATCTTTTAACAAATTAAAGAGTAAAATAAAAAATTAAATATTTAATTTAAAATAATATATTTTTTATTTTTATATAATTATTTGAACATGAATATACATATTAAAAATCAATTCTATCTTAAACTGAGTTTTAACTTTTATTCTTTTAGATTTTATTTATAATACATTAAGGGTGCATTTATCAATTAGCTTATAGCTTATAACTTTGATATTAACTGTTTATACATAAAATAACTATTAATAAGATATATTATTTTTTAAAATATTTAATTTTGTTCATTTTGGTTTGAAATTTATGAGAATTTTTGTTATTAATCATTAAAAATTATAAAAATATTATAAAATATTTATTTTTATTTTTATTATTTAGATCTGATAAAATTATTTTTACTAAAAATAATAATTCTTTATTGAAATTATGTAAAATATAAAATAATAAATCTTTCGTATATATTTTTTTATTACGTTAATTATTGTTTTAATATATATAAATAAATTAATAACTTTTGTTTTTTCTATTTGATTTAGTTTTAAAAATATATATATTTTATAAATAAAATAATTTATATGTAATAATTAATAATAGTAATTATTTTAAATTTATAAAAATAAAAATATAATTGTTGAGTACAAAATAATTGATAGGTTTTTAAGAAATGGACCTGTCAAGATTAGGTCATTCGAAATGTCTAATGGGCTTTTTGAAAGTCCAAATATGATTGCAGTAACCGGGTCGGATGAGTTTTGAGTCTGATCAAACCTGGTCGGGTAAATCCCCAAGGTCGGACGGATGAGGAGATTGGACCTGGTCAGGACCAAATAGTTCGGACGTCAAAGTCGGACCTAGTCAGGACAAAGTCCGAGGGTCGGATTTAAGAAAGTCGGACGGGTGATAAGATTGGATCTGGTCGGGACCAAATAGTTCGGATAGAGAAGTCGGACCTAGTCGGGACAAATTCCAAGGGTCGGGCATAAGAAGGTTAGGTATTAAAAGTAGTTATCCTATAGGTCGGGTAAAATGCAGTTTCTGGTAGTGGGGGTAGTTTCGACTGGCGAGCGGTTTTTAAAGTCGGACGTGACAAGACGGTTCTCATACGTGTCGATAGAAGAGAATTTTTTGGGGAGTTAACAGCGGTTATGGTAACCGACCGGATAGCGGTTCGAACCGTATCTTCAAGGGGTTATTTAAAGATTCTGTACTGTATAGAAATGACATCTTCAATCGACATCAAATTCAAAAATATCGTTTTTGGGGATCACCACTTTATTTTCCAGTCTTTATTTTATTCTACAGTGTTTAGAAGTTTCTAATTTCAGACATTCATCTATCAAATTCGGGAATATTCCTCTATTTTCGAATTTTACTTTTTATTGTTGAAAAAACGCATCAACAATAATATAATAAATTAAATATATTAAAAATAATTAATAAATACTGCTATAAAAATATATTTATATGTATAAAATAAATAATTAAGTTTTAAGGGTAAATAAGAAACAACCAAAATTAAAATGAAAAAACTCTTTCGAGCTTTTCAAAAATTAGGTTTTTTGATCCAAAAAGCTCTTTCAAAAAGCTAATTTACCGATGAAATAGCTAAAAACAGTTCAATAAGTTAAAAGCTTCTTAAAAGCTGTCAACCTCTTGAATAAAATTTCAAGCAATATTTTATTTCAAATAAAACCAAACAAACCTTATTTTTGTCCGCCACTCATTTTAACTTCTAAATTTAGCGCCTTCAAAGCAAAATTCCTTATAAATCATAGTTTGAAAATTACGTATTAGCTTTTAACTTTAGTCTCTTAAAAGTTGGCAAAATTATTTATATATTATGGTTTGAAAAGTTTTTATTATTCTCTATCATTATTTAAAAATTATATAATGTAAAAGTTTGCTATAAATTTTAGAGGCTACCAAAAAATAAATAATAATATAATTTTAGCTAACAGATACGCTATTATTTTCTTTAGCTATAAAATATCAATTAAAATATTTTTTAAATCAAAATTGAAATCACAAATCCAAATTCAAAGCCAAACGAAATAAAACAAAACAAACGTTTCTTATTTATTTTTTAATTTTTGTTTTGGCATGATTTTTTAATGTAATATTATTGTCACTAAAGTTCGAAACAGATGGCCTACTCGGTATAGGTCTATCAATATGGTGGTTGAAACGGTTTTCCGACTTTATTATCACAAAAATCCATGTCAACAGCCTAATTGACTTGGGTCTGTCGGAATCGAATTTAAATGGGTTATGCTGCCTTCTCAAAAAAACATACGAGTTACGTCTCACGGGTGATGAATTGGAATACAAGAGGTCCGAAATGAAAGCTACTACGATAAACAATTTTGAACTAAGACTAATGCGATAAAAAATCAAATAATACTAAACTACACGAACAAAATATAAAGCAAAACTAATCTGGAACTTTAAATTTAATTGAACTAAAATTTAGGAAGTTGAATTCTATAAACAAAATTTGAAAATAAAGCAATGCAAAGTATTGTTTGGAGGTTGATTTCAAGTGGAGCCTTAAGAGCACACACAAGTGCTCTTAAATCAACGACCTTGGATGGTTTAGGGCTATACAAAGTATTCAAATTGAAAAGGATTGCACTAACGTGGATGAGCTAGTGAATGCAGTGGTGTTATGTTTTAAAAAATTGATAGCAGAAAAACTAAACAAAGTTTTTTTGAGCTTATAAGGGTGCATGATTGAAATAATGAGTGGAGAAAAAAAAAAAAATTCCACATATGAAGAAGGATGCACTTATTAGGCAAGATGCTTTACCTAGACACCTGAATGTGACCAAGTATTTGGTAATTAATTGTCTCACATACCTCATGGACAAAGGAAAATAAAACTATGTTATGCTATTGCTGTCCAGACTTGGATTTGAAGTTTAAGATGCAATCATCTCTTCTTTCTCAATGATATCTCTTTCTTGAGTAAGCAAACAATGACTTTTTTGGGAACGTAGAAGTATAATATTTTGTAAATTTCATACCGTGCATATGATACGTGGATACGCATGTGACTCAGTCTTTGTTTTTGTAATGCAATATTTGATAAGAATATTCAGATCTTATTAAAGCTCATTATAGTCACACAAATGAACCAATGACATTATATTCTAACCTAAAGGCAACCACCAAACTGTGTAGAACTACTACCATCTCAATTAGAATATAGTTATTTAAACTTTATATATATTGCATAGTAGCATATCCTCATATTCATCTAATGCAAGTATGCAACGAAAGGTACCAACATATAACAATGACTCATGATACAAAAAAGTATATCTCATACAAGCAGTATATCCCACAAAATCCCTCAAACAAACATACTCAACCGTCGAAACCACCGATGGAAGAGACAATCCGATGGTCTCGGAATCGAAGTCGATTGCTCCTCCCTTCAACATCCTCGGCAACAAGGTGACGGTGACTGACCAAGATCCATAAAAAATCAGATTTGGTGGGGGGGGAGGTTAGAATCCATGGGCAAAGTCGACTACGGCTTTTGTTATGAAGGAATAAGAATTCCGAAGTCTGTTAGAATATAAAACTGAATTTCTCTATTTCAATCATAAGAATACATACATATTTATAATAATATACAAATCGTCTAAATAAGACAAGAATTCTATAAATCTCTTAAATTAGATAACTACCATACATATAATATATTGCTTCTAAATATATTTTAACACTCCTCCTCAAACTCAAGATATGATCGAACAAACTTGAGTTTGTCAGAAGTGACCGAAAAAGATATAGCCGAGATCTTCCATGTACGAATTTGAATTCGCCAAGATTGACTGAAGGTGGTGTAGCCTTCCACTAAATCAAAGTCGGAAGCAAAACACTAAACATCGTTAAAGTTGGAAACAAGACTTGCTCGCTCACAACGGAACTAGAGTCGGAAACAGGACTCGCTCACTCTATAGAGTTAGAGTCGGAAACAAGACTTGCTCGCTCACAACAGAGCTAGAGTCGGAAACATGACTCATTCGCTCTCAACAGAGCTAGAGTCGGAAACATGACTCATTCGCTCTCAATAGAGTTAGAGTCGAAAACAAGACTCTCAACAGCGTTAGAGTCGAAAGTAGACTATGTCAGTAGAGTAGTAGAGACAGAGACGACATATAAATAAAAGCATGACCAAGCATGACTGTGAATAGTAGCAGATACATTAATAAAATATCAAAATATATATGAAATATAATGGGTCATGGATGTACTCGGAGAGAATTCGACTTTGATACCGTGTTAGAATATGAAACTGAAATTCTCTGTTTCAATCATAAGAATATGTACATATTTATAATAATATACAAATCGTCTAATAAGACAAGAATCCTATAAATCTCTTAAATAAGATAACTATCATAAATATAATATATTACTTCTAAATATATGTCAATTAGGGCTTTTGTTGGGAAGAAAAAATTAATTGCAAAGCTGTTAGAATTTTTATAATTTAATTATTTGTTTTAATCATATTGTGGGTTTGGGTGGATTTGTTTATTTATATATTAAAAATAAAATATTTTACATTAATAATAGAATAAGATAATTAATTTTAATGCTTATTGTTAGTTATGTTTTGATTTGATAAATTTTACTAAAAATAGAAATAGATCATTTAAGGTGGGACAACCAAAAAAGAAAATGGTATAATTTCATGTGAGACGGACAGAGTATGTCTTTTTTATTATTATTATTATTATTATTGTTTTGTTTAATGTGTGAAAAATATGTTTAAATTTCCATTCTTTTAGAAATTTATTTTGAATGTTATTGCAATAAAGAATGATGAGTTGAATTTTGTAAAATTATATTTGGAATATTTTTTTAATACCGATTATAAGAAATTAATACATCACCCTCAGTATAACAATATGCTAATAATAATCCAATAATATTTTTTGATATCATCATTAGATCCCAGCCGTTCTAAAAATTTTGATATAAATTGATTCTTGTTAACTTAAATAATTAAATTAGGTTAGATTATGATTTTTCAAAACTATCAAATAGAGATGATTATGTAGTGTTATATTTGAAAGAGTCAGTGATTTTCAACAAGTTTTTTTGTTGATAGCTATTTGATAAAAGAAACAATGCTCTCTGTCAATAGAGCTAATGCTATTTATCAGTGGAAGTCTTTATGTGAATAGAAACATTGCTCTAAGTTAACAGAGACAGTGCTCTCTAAATTTTTTTTAACCCAGGAGTATTTTATTTTTGTACTTTTAAAAGTTAATAGTTGTGCTATTTTATAATTATTATTGTACTTTCCTGAAATTATTATCATACTTTTTAGAAAGTTATCCTACAAATAATAATAATGTATTTATTTATTTACTATTTTCATAATAGTATTGCAATTATGTACCCATTTCTATAGGTATAATCATTACGTAGTTCTGCTCTAAAACTGTTGCAGAAAATTTTATTATAATATTTTTATTATTATTAATATTTTTTTATTATTATGATTGTGCTCTTTTGAAGTAATTTTTGTACTATTTAAATATTATTATTGTGTTATTTTATAATTAATACGGTGCTTATAATTATTACCCTTTTCATATTATTTTATTAAATTTGTTTCTCTTTTTCATATGGCCAAATTATATATATATATATATATATGTATATTTATGTCTCTCTCTCAACTCAACTTAAACAAAAATGCAAGTACAAACACAAGAATAATTTATTTAAGAGCACACCTATTGAATAATGAAAGCATCGAGCACAATAATAAAAAATACTGCAGTATTTTCTTTGTAAATTGATATTGCTCTTTTATCTGCGGCACAATTATTCATTGTTTTACAAATATAGAATCAATTACTCTATTTATTCAAAAAATATACTACAATCACAAAATTAACATTATTTATTATTAGCATCGGTCATGATTTAATCAGTATCATGTCGATTCTTAAAACTTCACAGCATGGTAACCGAACCAAACTTTATTATTTGAGGTTTTCATTTTTTTTAAAATATGAAAATTTACATGATTTGATAAACAAATAAAATGTGCCAAGATTTTCGTAGATAAATAGTTTAGAATTTATTATGTAATTTTATTATTTATTTATTTTATATTCATTTATTTTATAATATGCTCTTCCGCTTCGAAATAATTGGTGTATTTGGTTAGTGTCAGTATTAAAGAAAAAATATATGGTTTGTTTCTTTAGTGTTCTGATTAAAAGAAATTTTTTTTACATGAAGTATAAAAAATTATAAAAATAATATTTTATGTTAGAATATTAAATTTTGTTAAATGATAAAATATATATTAAAAATTCTATCGAAAATAAATATTGGAAAAATAAATCCTATTGGATAATTAATGTAATTTATGATATTATTTTATTATTTTGATCTCAATGGTAATTTTGATATTTTTAAACTAAAAATTAATCTGTATAATTAAAATAAATTTAGAGTATATATTTAAATATTTTAAATATTATATGTCAATAAAATATACAAATATTATTTTATAAAAAATAAAATTTTATATAATACAATTATATAAAAAAAATATTTTTATTTATCTATGATTAATATAAACTATTATTTTAATTTTTTTAAAGTGAGTTGTAAATATAAATAAAATATTTGGGTTGAGGATAAAGATAAAATAAAGTCGTTTTGAGTGAGATTAAATAAAGATAAATAAAATAATATTAAATAGGTTTTATAAATAATTGTAATAAAAAATGAAAAAATTAATTAAATTAAATTATAATTGTTAACTGCTTAATATTGATAAATCTATTTAAAATAGAAATGTATAACTATTATAAATATACTAAAAGGTTGACTGCTATTCAATTATGATTCTGTTGAATGTAACACGGGGACCATATACAATACAATACACAAATGATCTGTCCTGCACTCCATAGATTCCATCCATCAACTGAGGCAATATTGTAGTGAAATGAATGATTCATCCTTTGAATAATTCAACGCATACGCGGTAGGATGGATTTATTATGTTACTTATTTATTTCCTTCCAATTTAATTTATCTACATGTTCTGTTCATAGTCAACTATTCATAAGATTCGAGAACAGATAAGCTGTTGTAAATTGTAATTCCTTCCAAAGCATGGCCTCAATCAGATCAGCTTCCTCTTCCAGCAGGCTCTACAAAGAATCTAATTAAATTACATAATGGCTGAATACGCACTGTTTTGTGTAAGGAGGAGTCTGAATGAACTGCTGTGCATACCTGAATTACGCGTCCGGATTGAATTGATCCAGGAGAAGCTGAGAAAACTGCAGTCCATTTTACAAGTGGTGGATGCCCGGCAAGAAGTGGATGAAGGTATCCGGAGTTGGGTCGCAGAAACCAGGGAAGTCGCCTACGACATCGAAGATCTTCTGCTTGTAGCAAACACTAGTGCTCAAAGGAAAGAAGGAACCATTTTCAGAAGGTCGCCTTCTATGTTCAAAGTTCTCCACCCCAAAATCCAGGAAATAGATGATAAGATCTCTGCCCTTGAATCGAGCCAGCGCGTTAGAAATATAAAGCCACGCCAAATAGAAATACAAAGCCCCAGACCGAAATGTCTGAAATTGCAAGAAAAAGGAAGAAGAATGTACTTGCATCTTGTCGAGGAAGATTTCATAGGGTTGGATGATGATGTTCAAAAATTGGTTGCGAGATTAGTGAAGGATGATGAAGCCTTCCCGGTAGTCTCCATCACAGGTAAGGGTGGGATAGGGAAGACCACAATAGCTAAAAAGATTTACCATCATGGTGATGTTCGGAGGCACTTCCATGGTTTTGCTTGGGCCTGTGTTTCTCAGAAATGGCAGCATGAAGATGTCCTGCAGAGGATACTCAACAAGCTTGAACCTGAGAAGAAAAATGAAATCAATGGCATGAAAGCTGATATGCTGGTCAATGAACTTTACCAAATTCAAAGGAGGAAAAGATGCTTGATTGTGCTGGATGATGTCTGGGAAATGCAAGTCTGGGATATATTTAGACCTGTTTTTGAGACAGGAGGAGAACATGTAAAGATCAAAGTTTTAATCACAACCCGCGATAAAGAAATCGCACGATATGTAGATATGGGTGCTCCTTGCTACCTCTATGAGCAAAGAACTTTGAATGAGAAAGAGAGTTGGGAACTGCTCAAGAAGAAAGTCAGTCGTGGTGGATTAAATATCGCAGGTAATAATTTCTTCTAATTTCTTTCAGTTTTAGGAATCAAATCTCTATAACATTCATGAAAGATAAATAGATTGAGAGGAGCAGCAGGTTCTTTAAATTTCCTCATTCATCAATAACAGTGAGTCAGAAATAAGATCATTCTTAGTTAGTTTAATTGAGCATTTTAGTGAGTTCATTTCTCCAAGATTCGCTTTGTATCTACCCTGAAAAAAGAATGTTTATTAGTTAGTACGTTTTCCTGGAGAACATAACTAGCGTAAAATCACATAAAATTTTAATATGCCATTTTACCTGCATTTTAGGTATTTCATTTGACAGAGGTGATCAAGGTAATGGCAGATCCATGGAAGAAAATGAGTCATCCACAAGCTTTGAAGAGGATGATGATGCATCATCAAGTGCAGGAAGCTTCTACTCTTGCTTAACTGAAGAAGAAGATGAGGATGAAATTACAAGTCAGCTTGACACACCACGCTCTGTAGATTACATTCAAGGTAATTAAGAGGATTCAATGGCTTGAAATGAATTGATTCTCTATATTGTGGACATCTATCTATCTATCTATCTATCTATCTTATGTCAAGTCTCATACAAGTGTTTAGTAAGAGCTACCTAAAGATATTAATCAGATATGCCAAACTATTCAAGTATGATGATACGTATATATGTTAATTGGTACAGACAAGAGAAACCAGATGGACATTGAGAGACTAGGAAGGGAGATGGTGGCGCAATGCGAAGGACTGCCTTTAGCCATCGTGGTGCTTGGGGGACTATTGATGACAAAATTGACAGTATGTGAGTGGAGAACTGTGCATCAGAATTTGAATGCATACTTAAGGAGGGGGAGAGGTTTCCGCGAGAGTGGAGCAGGAGCAGGAGCAGGAGCAGGAGCAGTGCATGAGGTGTTGGCCTTAAGTTATCATGATCTACCCTATCAGCTAAAACCATGCTTTCTACATCTTGGAAACTTCCCTGAGGATTTCAAAATACCCACTCGAAAACTATATCAGTTGTGGTCAGCTGAAGGCTTCATATCACCAGAAGGTGAGGAGCACGAATCAATCATGGATATATCAGAACGTTACTTAGGCGAACTGGTGCAAAGGTGCATGGTTCAAGTACATGTTGACAAAGCAACCGGAAGGTTCAAGTCCTGTCAGCTACATGACCTTACAAGAGACTTGTGCCTAGTAAAGGGTAAAGAGGAAAATTTCTTGAAGAAGGTCCCTCCGCGGTACGAACCTAAGATAATAATTCCTCCTTCTCCATTAGCAATAGCAACATCAGTCAGCAATGCACGCAGACTTTCGATAACAGTGGATTATGATTTTGGTAGCTACTTCCCCTCAGGGAAAGAGATCAGTAATAAGCATGTTCGATCAGCGCTCTTCTTTTCCAGGCTCAGTAAAAGAAGAAACCTTCAGGCTGCCTTGGACTTTCTCTGCGAGGAATTCCATCTCCTTCGAGTCTTAGACCTCGAGAGGTTCGACTTTGGTGAAAGGCTGTCCAAAGAAATAGGGAATTTAGTATACCTAAGATATCTGAGCTTAAGGGGTTCTAAATTCAGTAAGCTGCCATCATCCATATGCAATTTGAGGTGTTTACAGACACTTGATCTAAGGGTATCCTTTCTTGTATGTCTGAGCATTCCCGACGTAATATGGAAGCTGAATCATTTGAAGCATCTGTATCTCCCTCCAAACCACACATGTAAAGCTAAACTGCAGATAGGCACCTTAAACCAGCTGGAAACCTTAAAAAACTTCGACACAAGTGTTTCAGACTACAGAGATCTCTTCAAGTTGACAAAGCTTCAGAAGCTAGCAGCAATTCTGGCTCTAGAGCTTGAAAATTTAGAACCATTAATTAGCAGCCTCAAGTCGATGAGCCAACACATCAAAGGCTCATCTTTCCGTATCCGCTATGATTTTAAGTCTGAGAAAGAGTTTACTGTACTAAGGGAATTAGTGGGGTTTACCCATCTCCGGAAGCTGGATTTGATTGGAGTCATGCATAGCCTACCAGATCACAGTGATTTTGCACAGAGCCTCAACAAATTAACTCTGAGAACAAACAGACTCAACGAAGATCCTATGGCTACTCTAGAGAAGCTTTCAAATTTGTATTCCTTGATATTACGGAAAAATGTGTTCGAGGTGAAGCAGATTCGGTGCACTCCTCAGGGTTTTCCTCAGCTCACAAATCTCGAACTTCAGGGGCTTACGAGCTTAGAGTCATGGACAATAGAGGAAGGGGCTATGCCTAATCTTTTTAGTCTAAAGATTGATGAGTGCATCAATCTTAAAATGCTTCCAGAAGGTATAAAGTTTATCACCACGCTCAAGGAATTGGTGATTGTCAACATGCCTGAACCATTCAAGAAGAGAATTCAGAAAGTGCAGGGGGAAGGAGGAGAGGATAGTCATAAAGTCGAACACATTTCGTCCATCACCATTACTGTGACAAACATCCCCCACACCAAACAACGAGGGAAACAATTACCAGGTCCTTAACATTAACTTCTTATCCCTATCCCTATGGTACCAGATTTTTCTTACAAAGACAGTGAGATTCTGCATGTTATATATACTATTCAACTTTTCCTACTGTTATCCTCCTGATAGTTCACCCTATCTGCCTTGTAAGTATCTTAGTTTAGGTATGACTTCATATATCTTAGATTCCTCTGATGACATTTTCTTCATGTGCAGGAAGTTCGTATTCTGGACTACTTCATAGTGTTTCTCCAGCACTGGTACCAAAAGTATGGCAGAATTCATGAATGTCGTGACATTAGGATGCTTTTAGCAGATTATATATTAGAGGTCTTTGTATTGTGTCTCCTACAGGTTGCTCAGGTCCATTCCATAATCTCGAGCAATCCTAAGTTGAGAGATAATTGTTAGGAAATTATTCTAGAACTTGAGCTTCAAATATCTGCCAAGAAGTGAGAGACTCTGCACAAAGTAGGAATGTAATGTTGTAGAATTATATAGTTTTGCTAATCAACAAGTTCTGATCCTATCCTTATTCATGCAAGTTATTTCATACGGTCTATTACAAGAGATTAAATACAAAAACCAAGTCAGATAAATTAGCTAATCCAATCCCTTTATCTATGCGCCAAAAAATAGACTCGAAGACCTAATATATTACAGTAGGCGAGCTTCATTCAGATCCAGCTATTTACTTGTTTATGACCATCCCAGCATTAATTCCAGACAGAAGACTCAGGGATCTGACACATAATATTGACAGAATTTTTCATACTGATAAGTACATTTGATTTGTTTCAAGTATGAAAACTAAGAACTTGCCATAACAAATTCACAATGCCGTTGAAGCAGATACAACAATTTCAAATAATGGCATTACCAAAATCTACAATATATATAAATATATATATATATATATCTACAAGTTCAACCAAGCACATGCTAATAGGACCAAAACCAAATAAGATCCTCATATACAACAACAACCAAAAGCATGTATTATAACTACAAGTTTCATAACTTCAATATGTGATTATGACTGTAGGACCTTTAACTTAATGAGCAGGCCTGAGTGTAAGCAGGTACTGGTAGTGTCGTGGGCTTGCAGCTGATTATAAGAATTTCATAATTTTATTTTGGTATCACGTGTGAACTTGATACAATGCCAATAGTTTTGAAACTTCAATGCAGTTAGTTAGCATCTATAACCTGTTTTGTTTCCTTATTTTCTTTTCAATATGATATGATTTAATTTGATATTTACCATATATCTACTTGTTCTATTCCAAGAGTAGGTTATATGTATTTTTTTATTAATATTCTTCATGATATATAAAACTATATTGTCATCCAATTTCTAATTTTTTATTACAGCTTAAGGAAAGATAAATTCACTGCTTCGTTTAGCTGAAAACTCTAGCATCCACCCTCTCTTCTCCTTACATTTCCTCAGTCCTTGTTTTAATCATTACTGAGAAAGCAGATTCCCGATAGCAACAAGAAATCTATGGTGATTGTTCATGAGATCTCTTTTCCAATGATTTATGTCATGGTGCAGATTATCATTTTTAGACTCAAATTACAGAGATGCATACTGCTAGCAGGTGGAAAGAGGAAAATATTACTGGAAAAAAGGCTGCTCCAACAAAAGTTGACCCAAGATATGATGAATGGGAGGCTGAAGATGAGTTGGTAAAGTCTTTGCTCATCAACTCAATGACTGATAAGTTAATGGCAGGCACATTTGTGCATTGTGCATTTAGTAGCCTCATGAACATGCACACCAATCCAGCATCCAACTTTTCTTTGACAAAATGTCTATATCTCAATGTCCTTTGTCTTCTGGTGTTGCACTGGGTTATGCCCAATGTTTATAGCAAACTCGTTGTTGCTATACAACTTTGTAGGGCCTTTAAGTTTAACCTTCGAATGATTTTTAGCCAAATCAATTCACATATTCCTTGGGCAATAGCTTTGAATTCAGATTCTGCTGATGACCGTGCTACAACATTTGGTTTCTTGCTTTTCCATGTTCCTAAATTTCCTCTAAGAAAAGTGCAGTACCCAGCAGTAGATCTTCTATCCACTAGAGACCTAGCATAGTCTGCTTCTGTGTAGGCTTCTAGAGTAAGAGCATTGTGTCTACTAAACAAAATTCATTTCCTGGAGCTCTTCAAATAGTGTAATACTTTGTATGCGGGCTGTAGATGTGATTCTCTAGAGTCGCACATAAATTGGCTCATATCACTCACAGAATAAGCTATATTAGGTCTAGTATGGGCAAGATAGATAACACATAGCTTTATCAACAACCAGTTCTTCCTTTGCTGCACTCAACTTAAGAGGGCATTTGGTAGCCATTGCACACAAATAAAAGTAGAAAATGAAATTAATGACAAAAGCTATTCACTCGATAATCAGAATTAATTTATTTGCTTGGTAAAAATAGAATTTAGTTGAGAAATGCAAAATAAATGCTGCGATCTGGATAAATTTATAAGAAGAAATAACTAATTAGTAAGAGAAAGTTTTAATGACTTAGAATCCACATAGAAATATTTAATAATGACATTGAGAAATATTTTTAATGATTTTTTTGGTGACTTTTTTTATTTGAATAATAAATAAGATGTAGTGTTTTGTAAAATCTAATTTCAGTGTAATTTTTTAAAAATTCGTAAGAGTTAAATAGTTAAATAATAGATGAGATGTGATTTTTTATAAGACTGAAATAATATATTGTTTAAAAAAATAATTGAAATTAAATAGTACCAAAAAATATAAAAATAATGCATCTAAATTCATTTATCTTAATTTCTCTAGATATGGAAAAAAATTAAAATATATAAATAAAAATGAATATTTCTCGAGTTTGATTTCTCTAACTCAAATAAACAAGAGAAATATTTTTATTTCACTGCTCTCATTTCCCTATGCCAAAATAACATAAAGTTTGGATTTGTGGGAGAATAAACAACTTTACATAGTGCTTTTCAAAATTTCATCAATACACTGGTAACATAGTTTTGCTATGATACAAAGATTGCTTGGGATAAGTATGAAATTTACTGCCAATAAAATATTTTAATTTATCGAAATCTTTTACTTCAAACTTCTATAGTAATTTACATTTTTAGCTTCATCTTCTCTTTTTCATCATTTCCAATGACTATGATACCATCTACATAAACTAGAAGAACATTAATTCATTAGGGGATGAGAATTAATTCATGAGAAATTGATGAGGAAATTTTTTTACTAATAATAAGAATTAATTCAGTTGTTTGGTAATTTGGTTGAAAACATGTAAAATAAATGCAAAGATAGGGATGAATTGATCAAGAAGAAATAGTTAATTGGTAAGAGAAATTTTATTGAGTGAGATTCCATTAAGAAATATTTTTGGTGTAATGTTTTGTAAGATCAAAGCTATGTCCTCTTAAAAATATTTTAAAAATATTTTAATGACTGAGATTCCATTAAGAAATATTTTTGGTGAAATAAAAATTTTAATTAGTGAGATTCCATAGGGTGTGTTTGTTTGGGGGTTTGGATTTTGAGTTGAGATTTGAATAGTAAAAATTTTGAATTTGAATAGTTATACAATGTGATATAAATAGGTGATGATGTGATGTTTTGAATGTAAAATTGATTTTTAGTATAATATAAAAAATGAAAAATAGGTGTTTGATTTGATGTTTTTGGGGGGAAAATTTTGGATGAATAGTAGGATTTTGTTAAAAACCTACAAACGAACACACCCTAAGAAAATTTTATAATAAATATTAAAATCTCCATTTCTAAACCCCTAAAATTATAAATATATTAATTTTTATTATATTTAGCTTAAAAAAATAGTAAATATATTTAAAAATAATTATTTTTCTCTGGTTTTAAAATTTATTTTTACTGTTTTTTTAGGCTAAATATAAAAAATATAAATATATATTTGTAATTTTAGGGATTTAAAAATTGAGATTTTAAAATTTATTTGCAATTTGGACGCATTTACGTCAAATACTGTTAAATAAGGACCGTTGAGGTGGTTAGACGCAGAGTTTATGAAACCTCGAAGGAATTTGACGCAGTTTTAAAAGTATAAGGGATTTGGTGCAATTTCGTGAAACGTGGATTTTGTGCAATTTAGCCTTAATTTTATTTCTCTAATCTATTAATTCTAATTCTTCTAATTCAATTTTTGGGTAAATTGTTGGATTATGGATTGCAGGACTGCACGCTGCATGCCACATTCGCGCTACCTGCACGCAGCTGTGCACTGTCCAACGCCGCACCTTGATGTTTCTCCCGTGCAGAGGATTTCAATCTAGGTTTTATTATTCCTTATTTGTAACAATTTACAAATTAAAAAATAAATTATGTCTCCTAAAAAGAAATATGGGTAGGGATATGAAAAATGCAAAAAGCACAAAAAAAATTAATAAGCTAATTCAATCTCAAAGTAGAGCAATTAATAAATTTGTTATGGACTTTATTATTATAGTTTGAAAATACATTTAATTATATGTTTATAGGACCTGTATTTTGTTTTTGCTTAGGGCTTTAAAAGTTTCCGAGTCTGCCCTGTTTCTACACCTTTGTTGTTCGTTCTTCTTCGTCTCATTCTTCCTTCCTTCTATTTTTTGGTTTCTTGTTTCTTCGCATTTGTTCTTCCTCTTCTCCTTCTACTTCTAGGTTGTGCTGCCATCTGTCCCCTCGGAGACAAAATTGCTCCACCTGCTGGAACATCCATGAATAGGATGAAGGGTGTTTCTTATTTTTTAAATAAATTTCGATATAATCGGTATATACCAGTGTCGTACTGAAAATTTAAAAAGATGTGAAATTTTCGTTATAAATTGTATATACTGATATCATACCAAAAGTTTCGATATATTGAATTTTGGTATACCGAACGTATTGGTACAATATCAGTATATGTTCCTACCATACCGATATGTTTGGTAAAGTACGCGGTATAAGTAGAAATCTTCAGTACGGTACGGTATGCTATCCCTAATTAGGAATAACAATAGTATTTAGATTCACAAGAGAACTTTAATGGGTTGGAGACGACTGGTTAAGAGTGACATAATTAGATAATGGGTATAATCCACTCTCTAGTGCCTTTTCTTATTGTTGATGTATTTTTTCAACAAACAAAAATTAAAATTCAAAGATATGGAAAATATCTTTAAACTTGATTAATTAGCGTCTGAGATTAGAAATTTCTAAACACTGTACAGTACATAAGATAATTGACTAGAAATTAAAAATGTTGGAAATTTAAAGTGGTGATCCCCGAATCTGACTTTGCTTTGTTGAAGTTGATTGAAGATCATTTCTCCAGAAAAATCCAAATCCTTAAATATCCCTTGAGAAACAGTACTGGAAACCGTCGGCCGAACGGTTACAACGTCTCTTTTTCAACCATCTGCTAACCCTTCTCCTGCTGACACGTGCCCTCAACCGACCACAATATCATTCGTACTTACTCTCAACAATGTCTAACTCCTTGAACCGACCGCAG